CGGTGGGGGCACCGCCGGGCAGAGCGGCGAGGGACAGCCCGCCTCGCCGCCGCCTCCCGCGCCGCAGGACGAGAAGGAGCAGGGCCGGGAGGAGGAGAAGGAGCGGGGCAGTGAGGCGGGCTGCGAGGACCCGCTGGAGCACCCCGGCGATAGCTGCCGGGAGCTGCCGCCGCCGCCCACCCCGGACATCAACCAGCTGCCACCTTCCATCCTCCTCAAGGTGGGTCGCGATGGGAGGGATGGGCCAGCCCCCTCCCTGAGGATTTGGGAAGCGGCTGGGCCAGGCCCCGGGGTGCCGGTGTCGCCGGGCGGACTCGGTGCAGGGGGCAACCGGAGGAGGCCGGCCCGGTCTCGAGCTGCCTCAGCGCCTGGCTTTGGGGAGATAGATGGGGTTCTGGGGGGGTTGTTTGCATTTTTTTGTGTCCCGTTCCCCGACCCCATTTGTTCGTCGTTGGAAACGGCGTTATGGGCCATTACCTGGACGTGCAGACAGACTAAACAGCTCCAGAAGCGATCTCGTAAAGGTTTTGACTGTTCCCGTTAACTTCGTTAGGTGCCCTTTATAAGTGGCCTTTTACTTGCATCCCCGGTGTACTGCTCGCTAAGGGGGCCTGTCACTGTGTTTAGTGCTTCCATGGGTATCGCAGCTACGCAGACAAGTTTTCAGTGTTGATTATTAAACAGTTGCTGTGTATTGTGGATCATTTTTGGCCTTAGTAGTTCCGCAGTGTTTGCAGTCTTCTTGAATTACATGCTTTCATAACCTTCTAACGCTGTATATCAAAGGAACAGTGTCCTCTCCTGTCCCTTTTGCTGTCTTTCTGCTCCTTTAATACCGTTCCCCTTTGGGACTACTTTCCCTTTTTAAGCTACTTTCTTGAGCACTGTGCTGACTTCCTTCAGTTAAACATTAGCTAAAAAGTGGAGTCTAGCTGGAACTGAGCTGGTGATGTCTTCCACAGTCTGATGTGAGTGTGCCTTTAAATTTTGGGGAATAAATTTTGAGGATCGCAGGAGTTTTTCAGAGGTCAGATGGCAGAACTTAAAGCAGGACATAATAGTGGAGGAGTGAGAGACATGACTCCTGGTGTTCATACTTTACTAGTTGTACATCCCGTGTAGAAGGTACTTGCTTTGCTCTTTTGTTGTCAAACAGTAACAACCTACTTATTTGACCGTCTTGCATATAACACTAATTCTGTGGGAAGTTTAGTTCGTTTGAGGGTTCATTGTTGTTTGTTGGTTGCTTTTTTTTTATATACTCCTAAAGTGTGTTACTAATGATATGTCATGATATGTTTTGTAGATGTGCTATGCAAATTAACTCTAGGCAAATAAGAACTCATGAGCTATCATCTGAATTAATCTTGTCTGTGATTACAAAATTAAAGCTTTGTTTTGTAGTCTTTCTAGAAGGGAGTCCATTTGTTTGCCACTATTATTGGAAGATAACTTTTTTCTTTGATGTTTAATTTTAGGATTTGAAGCTGAACTCCTTTGATTAGCGTAGCTAATGTAGATTTTTTTTTGATCAAGGGTGTGAGTACTTTTCTGTGGTTACTTTTAGTACTCACTTTCACTTTTTGAAAAGTATCTATAAGATACTTAGTAGTAAAAGGTGTCATGTCCATCTTACTTGTAGACCAGTTAAGATGTTGCTTAATCTCTATTTTACACAGATCCAGTACTTCATTCTTACCTGTGTTTTCAAGGTTGTGGGGGTTTTATGCCTGGTTACTTAATTGTACAAACAAGGGGTTTTTGTTTGAACCCCAGCTGGCAACTAGGTGCCAGGCAGCCACTCACACACCACATCCATGGACTGTTTGGGTGGAGAATTCAGGGGAAAAAAAGTGTACCTTGTGGGTTGTGACAAGAAGAGTTTAATATAGAATGCAGAGTATAATATAGGAAAATAAAGCAATGTTTGTATGAAAAGGCGAGCAAGAAAGAGATCCAGGTGATGCACAATACTTCTGTTTTTACAGCTACAAAGCACTGTACCAGCAGCTGAGAAGAATTGTATCCTAGCTGAAATCAGGACAGACACCTACCTTCCCCAGTGATTTTGTCTCTACAGTTGCCATGTAGTCCAGTTCCTTTGCAATCCCTTTAAAAAAATAGGCCATTTTTTCCAGCACCATGGTAGGAGCCAACCTACTCACCCCCAAATTTGCCCTTCAATCCATAGCTGTTCTGATGAGTTGGGTTTGTGGTTTTAGTTTTTTTCAGATTATGTGTGTATATATATATTTTATATGTATATATATGTATATCTCTATATATACACACACACAGGGTATATGTGTACCTTCATCTATGTATCTGACTCCTAACTATGCCATTGTTTTGGGTTTTTCAGTTGCTTTCAAAATATACTACTCTGTTATGGAACTTATAACTTCAGATATCTAACCAGGTGTCCTGTCAACTGGATTTATGTTTGCCTTCTTATGATGGATTTTGATACAGATAGAAGTATATTTAGGATATTCTTTGTCCAAAGGTGTCATTTTATTATGAGAGGGTAGAAGACAAATATACCCAAAATCTTTACTGAGCTTTTTACAGTAGGTATAGGAGACACAAACCTTCATACAAGGGCAAGAGATTCCATCCTGGGAAGCATCAGGAGACAGATCCTGCTTGTTTTTTTCTGGATTCCCCATCTGTGACCTTGTGATGCAGTGGTGCTGGTGCAGGAGTGTCTGTGACTGGTGTCTTTAGGTGGCCTCAAGACAAGCCCAAGGAACTATGTCAGAAACTCCTTTAGTAAGAGCTTGCCACTTTGTCTGTTTAGGTGCTGTTTACCTGTTCACAGTGGTTCAATCTCCTCTAAGCCAGGGGTTTGGAATGGGTGGAAGGGTTTGTTAGACTGAAGTTGACCTGCAGATCATTAGATGGGCCCTACTGGATTGGGAGGTTCATGGTGCAGTGTGCCAGTTGTTCCTGGTTCCCTGGCTGGTGAAGAGGTCTCCTGGTCAATATGAAGTGATAAAAGAATGGTGCTTCCACAGTCAGGGTTTTGCTTTTCATTTTGCTGCTGAAATGTGTATGAGGAAACAACGTTATACAGTGGGCAAATGTCATCTTTAGTCTTGGTAGAGGAGGGTGATTACCTTTGAGTAAAGGACAGTTCAAAGCCATTCTCTTTAAGACTTGAGGGGAATTAAGGAGTTATAGATCAGTCAGCTATATAGATAGCTTGACTGTGTCCTAGACACGTGTGGATTAAAAAATGAAAGAGAGCTGTTTGTAAGCATGCACTACAGAAAATTACAATTACTTCTGCAGCATATGACTAAGTTCTGAAAACTTTGAGCTCTATGTCACACATCTGTGCCTATTGAAGTGTCACTGCTGCTTATTCCTGGAAAATAAAATAGAAAAATAAATCTTCCTGTTCCACCTGTTACTTCTTTTCTGTGCTGCTGTTTAATCAAAATGGGTGTAAAATGGTGTGCAGACTGAGCCATGAACTTATGAGAGAATGCCAAGTCAAACACTTCAGATTTCCTTTTGAGGTGTATTCACAGAAGTTCTGTGTGTAAAACACAGAAAGGAAATTCTCTCCTGTGCTTGGTGCTTTTAAGGCCTCTGCTAGAGTGCTGCATTAGGCTGTGGGCACTGGGATCTTTTTAGAAAATACACACACAAATGTGAGAGTGATCAGAGGCAATCCAGAGGTCGTGAAAAACATGGCCTACTAAAATATTTGAAAGCTTCTGGACAAACTGAATGACAGTTGTTCATAAAGAAGACTGAGATGCGATCTTTAGTATGAGAAAATTTATAGTTCAACTGTGTTCCTGTCCCTTGTTGAATAGAAGGAAATAATAAGCTTAATTTGGGCAAGGTGCTTAGATGTTCTTACAGTGTATAATTTTCCAGGTTTGGCAGCAGTGGTTTCCTGTCTCTTAGGTTATGTGACAAGTTGGGATTTCTATTTATTAATTATTTCTTTAGCATCAAGGGATGGGATGCTCTTATAAGGAATATTTGGGGCGTGCTTAAACTTACTTCAAAACAAAAGGATCTAGAATAGATTGTCTTCTTTTTGAGGTCTGCTTTCTCAGTTTGCTGATTTTATTTTTATAAAGCACAAACACATGCCTGTAGCATAGAGACTCTGTCAGTTTTGGCTTAAGGCTAATGCACTATAAAGGGAAGATAAGAATGTGTCAGTATATATGTCAGTGGGTGTGTATTTTATTAAATATAAGGTTTTTGTAAATATATTATTGTTGTTATTTGAAGCACTATTGACTCCTTTTCTGGTGTCTTTACTTAGTGCTCTTTACTTAGTTTTCTCATTCTTCCCTCCTTGCAATAAGTTACAGGTTTTCTTTTGCTGCAACAATAACTTCATGGGTTTTTTTCTGATAATGTTGATTGATACAAAATGCATTGCTGCTGTCATTGTACTGCTAGCACTGAATTTTGGATAATCTGAGTGGTATGAAGTGGGTTTGATAGACCTTTAATTTTGTCTTCTGTTCTTTGAATACTGGAATTTATACCTGAAAAGACTGCATGTGCATTTTATTATTGCACTGTGATTTTCTTTTTTATTTTTTTTATTTTTTTTTTAAATTCTTTTTGGCTAGTCAGAAGGGAGAGACATCAAAATACATCATTTTGATGGACTTTATCTGCAAGTTCATTGAGTCACTTTTGTAATGCTAGCTTTCTTTCCTATTTACGCTGGTGTTCCCATCATAATATCCTGTCTAAAGTTTGTGTTAAGTTTACTTTTCAATGTAGCACTTAGAGACATGGAATGGGTTTTGAACCTTTGTGGCTGATGCTAGGAGGTAAAATGTCCTTTAATTTCACTATTAATTCAACTGAACTCCTTTTTCTTTTGCAGTGCTCAACACAGAAGTTTGTTTTGGTTTTCTGGCTTCTTGATTGTTTTTCCCATGAAGCTTACTGTCACCCTGTGATTCTAGTGGGGAAATGAACCAGTCTGACGTTCACTGTGATGTTACTGAGCTTCTGGAATGCAGTTGAGGGGCAATATTGTGAAGGGAGGGTATGCCAATAGACTAGTAACTGAAGAGAGGATAGTATATGCTCATTATTTCAATGATAAATTCCTGAAAGACGTTGTGAATTTTATGATTTATTGCAGAATTGCAGAAACAATTGTTTTGCTTTGCAGAGGTATGTTTTAAAAGGTGTTTGTGCAATTGCAGGGCGAGTAAATTCATCTGGCTA